TTCAAATTTGATGGAATTTGTCCTGTGAGAGATTTGAAAGGGAGGCTAATGGAGCTGATTTTGCCTGAGGAATCACAATCAACTCCTTGCCATTTGCAGGGATTGGAGCCGGACCAACCTGGAGGAGACGGGGAGAGAGATTTAGCCAACGCGGCCATAATGGCGTTATCATCGGCCAAGACATGGTGGAGGAGGGTGGTGATTAGGAGGATTATGGAGGATTTGTATCTCTTTTTGTTCATTGGAGCGGTGGAGTTTTTTTCCGGTGGTGGTTGGTTGTCCCTCGAGTGAGACAATACAATTTTGCATGGTGGCGGAGTGTGTGTTGTGGATGCTTGAATTGAGGAGGACAGACGGAGCGCGCAGTTAGCCCGTTATTGTTAAATATTCCCGAATCCAAACAGACGCAAAAGAGGAAACGACGCCGTGTCTGTTTATTCAGTGGTGACCTGTCACTCTCTCCACGTGGCAAACCATGATTGGCACTTATTACGTTTATGCCCATAGTGGCATGGCCGCTATTTATAGATTAAGCTGGCGTTCATATAGGGGAAAATCATATGGAGAAACATACTTTTTCAATAATGAAACTCGTTTTTCTCCTTTTGGTATTTATTACATTAGGTAAATTAAATTTGAGCTCAATTTGGATGCAGTTTAGCTTTGTAATTTATTAATTTCTCTTATTGATTCCTTATTTTCTACTGATGTTTTTTATATCTATGTTTTTTATAAAAAATGTTGTTTGAGGTGAATCTGCTAAATGTTGGATGTTTAATATGGAATTATAATGTGTTTATTCAATTTTCGTTCTGTTTAGTTGCGGCAAAGAAATCCGGCGATGTAACGGAGCTGCAGATCGGTGTGAAGGTAAATTATTAGGAGTTCTGTTTTGTCTAAGTACGATCTTTTTTGTTTCTCTATACGAAAATGCTGAGATTATTAGTTGCAGAAGAAATATAGTTCATTGGTAATTTCACGAGTCCTAATTACTCAGTGTGGTAGAACTTCTGAATATGTTGGCTGCTATCTCTACGATTGACTAAAACACATAGTTATATTTGTTAGGGTTTCTGTAGTTGATTTTCAATTAGTTTGAATTAGAAAGGTCCATTCATAATTAAGTATCGATGTATAAATAATGGGGTTAAATTCAATGCCTTTGACAATCAGGTTTGGTTACAATATTGTTTTGATCCCTTTTTTTTTATTATTATTTTTTTTATTTTTGGTAATGTTTGATTAGCTAGCTCTTTATTTTGAAATATCTCTTTAATTATGTGATCATTGACATGGTTGAGTGTATATCTAGTAGCTGAAAACATCAAAGCCATATATTTTTCGCTGTTGATTTTAAATTTTTAACAACAGCAAAGGGATTCCATGATTAGATGCTGAGGTAATGTTGACTTGAAGTTCCCGCAGAGGTGAATTATTACACAGTATGACTTTTGGAGAAGTTCACTGAAGGTTAAAAAGAAGTGTTTTTGCTTTCTGGGACAACGTGATGCATGTATATGGTTACTTGTATCATTTCACGAGTTTCATTGTCCCCATAACTCACGTCAGAATTATGAATAGCAGCTATTTATAAGAAGAAAATAATGAATTTAGATTATCTCTTGCATATCTTTCACTAATCAAATTGTGTTTTTCTTGACATAATTTTGATATTATCTTTCACTGCGAAAGATCAATAATTCTATATTTGTTGAATATATTTCTCCATCCTCTTATTTCCTGTTTCTGTCTTTGCTCGTCACTTGTACATAACAATCTTGTTTCTGTCCTGCAGTATAAGCCTGCAACTTGTGAGGTTCAGGCTCACAAGGGAGATAAAGTGAAAGTACACTATAGGGTGAGTATAATAACTCTTCTTTTGTACTCTTTACTTTTATTAAAATCATAATATAAATCAATAATGCTTTCCTCTTTATCTCCTCTTCTTTACTTTATCTTGGAGGAAGTTATATCTAGTAGTTAGAGTATCAATTCCAAGGTTTTATGGATTATGTTCAGTATTCAATCTTATACCTTTTTTTTTGGGTATGTGAGTGATATTTTCTTTTCCTTCACTGACGTGAGTGCAATCTGCAGGGAAAGCTTACAGATGGAACTGTTTTTGATTCCAGCTTTGAAAGGGGTGATCCTATTGAATTTGAGCTTGGTAGTGGTCAAGTGATTAAAGGTATTAACCCATTACTCATTTTGTGTCATTCTTATTGTTCTACCCGTGCCTCCTTTTTATGCTATCTAGTGAATAAATAAAACTTGAAGAAAACACAATTGATCGGAATGTTTTTGTTGGGACTTGCTGTCCTTAGTTTAAAAGCACATCTTTTGTGATAAATTATTAGCCTTATTGCATCGTGGACATTTAGCCGTTTTTATCTGTTCAAGCATAGATCGACATTTATGCCTGTATAGAATTCATATGTGAGGATAGCAGATCAAACATGCAATATCACTTTAATATCAGCCCTCTAGTTTTATATAGGAAAATCTATGGAAAGTGGATGTTTTTGAACATCTCATGTAAAAGTTTATGCTATTAGAGAGGCCCCTCGTGTATTCATTTAAAATCCTGTCTCCAACGCACCTCCTCTTATTTGATCAAAGGTCTCACATGCCCAAATGCAAAAAATGTCTGTCTCCGAAACTATCTTTTTGCTTGGCTCTGATATATTGTTAACCATCTCATTTAAAAACTTAAGCTACTAGAGGAGTGTCCTCACGTGTTCATTTAAATCTTGTCAATTTCAAATCAAGTTGGTCACTGGAATTGCTTCGACTATTAAGTATGTGCCAAACAGGGCATATGCGAGTACTTGGTACTGCCCTTGGATAGTTCTGTCCCAACCCAATTTGAGGTTGGCTTGTTTGGGCCTAGCTGCTATTATCAAGTCAACATTCTCCGGGGCCCAATCCTTGACCACAAAGTTGCATCTTATTTATTACAATATTTTGATACCTAGCCCTTGTTTGAGCCCCATTTTTTTTTACAAAAAATGGGTTTCATAATAGTGATTTTTGGAGATTGTGTGGTTAGAAAATAGAAAAAGTTTAGGTTTACTTGTAAATCATTTTATTAGGAGAATGTGTGATTGAGAATGAGTTTAAGGAAAGTAACAGTTTGAATATCTAAAACAACAGGTCCACTGTGAAAGTTTCTTTTATTAAATCAAATTGCTGTGTTGCAGGATGGGACCAAGGGATCCAAGGAATGTGCTTAGGAGAGAAGAGGAAGTTGAAAATTCCTTCTAAACTTGGTTATGGCGATCAGGGTTCCCCGCCTACCATCCCAGGTAATCAACTCAATTGTTTCTTGACACTTGACTTCTTGCTAGAGTATGCATACTGGGTAGAGTATAAGGAGGCTAGATTATGAGCTGAATTTGTTAGTTTAGTTGCTTATATATTCTTTTGCTGTAACTCAATCGCATTGAAGCCTATTTCCTGCAATAATATTAGAATTCGCTACCTGTCATGCTACCATATTTACTTTTGCTAAATTGTTTAACACAAATGCCCAAGTTTTAACATTTAGAATGTTAAAAAGTTCAGTCACCTTCCGCCTTTGCTTCTGCGAGGTTTCTTAATCGTACTAATGTATATTCTATTCACTATTTCAGGGAGTGCTACACTTATCTTTGACACAGAGCTGGTAGGAGTCAATGGGAAAACATCCAATGGGAAATCAGATGACAGTGAACTGTAACTTAGGAGCCCTTCCTGTAGTTCCTGGTAGCCTTTGTTTACCAAGTAGACCAATATTTTGTTTGATTATTTTGCATTTCACGCTGAAACGAACAACATGTTGCTTACATTGAATTTTGTGTTTATTTAAGGAGTTTCTGTGTCTGATTTTGAAAATGGTCATATGATATTTGTAAGCACTGCTTATGCTGCCGTACATTGCAGTGAAATAAACTTTATTTTTCAGGCAGATTAAGAAATTTTATTTAGTCTTGGTTTGATCTCAATATTTTCAACTGTACATTCTTCAATAAAATAACATTAATAATAATATTATATGCAAATCTAAAACTTTTTCTTATTTTTTAATTACATATTCTCCATCAAAATATTATTTTAAAATGCATTTTTTTTAGGGGCAAAAATGGAGCTCAATCAGGCTTTTATTGTTATTTAAAAATGCAATTTTTGCAAAGAAATGTTCTAATTTACTTTTAATTGATTATCAACTACTAACGGTGAATAAAATGGGAAATGTGTTTATGTATTTGGATAATTTCAAGAATGTAAATTAAAATTTGTACAATTTCAAGATTAAGTGAAAAGAACTGATTATAACTAGACAATATATATATATATTGAACAAGAAAATAAGTAAAATCAACTTATATAAATAGCACATGGAAGTACATTTTAATTTAGGGTTTTGCTTAGTGTACATAATTTTTTGGACATTAAGATATTTCACGCTCACATGGGTATGGGCTGCTCGAATATTTTATTCGAGTGGATTTCATCTCATGTGAGTGTATGGATACTTTATTGTACAAAAAATTATGTACAAATAGTGTTATCCTTTAATTTATCGGAGAGCATTGTCACATTAGATGTTGATCCCCGATGAAACAAGATTAATTTTTCTTATTAACATCATATAAAAATAACTCGCCACAAATTAGCACAAAACGTCAATACCTTTAAAGTTTATTGTGGAAAACGTCCTCACCTCTCACTTTTTAGCATTTTTGCCCTTATTCCCATATATATATATATTTTTTTTTGCAGAAAATGTCATTTTCACCATTTTTTAATATAAAAGGACCAAAATACCCTCATATTTAAATAAAATCAAAAAAGAAAAAAGAAAAATAAAGAATAAATTAAAATCTTACTTCTGAATATTTTAAAAAGTGGAAGTAAGTCCAAATAATTATTAAAAAGTCTGATAGCACATAATGTCCCTACGTTTGGCCTATAGTATAAAAAATGTTCCCACATTTCAAATTGGTGAAAGAGACGTTTTCCGCAATGAAACGTAGAAATAGGGATGAAAACGCAAAAAAATTGAAACATAGGGACATTTTTCATAAGAAGTGTCAAATGTAGGGATTTTTTTTGCTATTAGGCCTTATTAAAATATTAAAAATAACAAAAAAACTATTTCTTTCTTCTCTTCTTCTCCAAATGGGACTGTTACATTAGAAGTGAAAAAACTTCGACCAACCATCACCCAAATCGTCGAATCTCCATACCGCAGAATCATCTGCTGATATTTTAAGACCATGAAGAGAGATGCGATCTCTCTGAAATAGGTGATGTCGTCAGTATTTACATTCGCAAGTTGGGTATTTTGGCTTACAATTCATAACAAATCTATTGCATGAAGGTTTCAAAATTAGATATTGGATGGTATGTGTAAGGGAAGTGAAAGTTTTTCGGTGGTATGGAAGTCCAGAAGTTTAGATGATGGTTTGCTGGAGTTTTTTGACTTCTAAAGTGGTTGGCCCATTTGGAGAAGAAGAGAAGAGAAGAGAGAGAGAGAGAGAGAGTTTTTGTTATTTTTAATATTTTAATAAGGTCTAATAGCAAAAAAATTCTACGTTTGACACTTCTTGCAGAAAAATGTCCCAACTTTTTAATTTTTTTGTGTTTTTATCCCTATTTTCACGTTTTATTGCGAAAAACGTCCCTTTTACCAATTTGAAACATAGGGATTTTTTCACACTATAAACCAAACTTAGGGACGTTTTATGCTATTAGACCTTTTAATAATTATTTGGAATCACTTGCACTTTTTCAAACATTTAGATATAAGATTGTTATTTATTTTTTATTTTTCTTTTCTTTATTTTTGGTTTTTATTTAAATGGTAGGGTATTTTGATCATTTTATATTGAAAAAATGGTGAAAAAGACGCTTTTCGCAAGAAAATGTGGAAATAAGGACAAAAAAATCAAAAAAGAAAGATGGAGATTTTTTCCACAATAAACCTTAAAGATGGGGACGTTTTGTGCTAATTACCCTATATATAATATGACACAAATTGGAGGAAAAATATAAAATCTGTAAAAGTTTTAATTAGAGATAAGAGTTTTAATTAGAGATAAAAGTTTTAATTATAGTAGAGTAAATTGTTAAGTAGTATAATTTGAAGGGGTTTTAGGTTAAAATGTAATGTTATACGTAAAACCTCAATGAAATGAAATTCTACTTCGGAATACGCCTATTGATTGCGCACACATACGGACATGCTCGAGTAAACCCTCGTAGAACTCTCCGGACCTTCCATTTTCTGTCACTTTTTAAGAGGCGAATCTAAGCACCACCCCTCTTCGTTATTGTAATTTTTGTTGTCCTTGTTGATCACGTTTTAGAGAAAAAAAAATGGATGATGATTTTGAGATGCCGCCACCGGAGGAGATGGATGACAGGGATCTGCCGGAAGACAGTTCCTACATGAAGGTTGGGGAGGAAAAGGAGATCGGAAATGAGGGATTGAAGAAGAAGCTTGTCAAGGAAGGGGAAGGCTGGGATACTCCCGAAAATGGCGACGAAGTTGAAGGTAAATCAGCAATTTGCTCATACTTCGCTAATTATTTGATTATGTTGTGGAAATGATGATGTTTGTGGGAAATTTTTCAGTTCATTATACTGGAACCCTGCTGGATGGTTCTAAGTTTGACTCCAGCCGTGATAGAGGGACGCCATTCAAGTTCACTCTCGGCCAAGGTAACTGGATTTTACGTGATCATATTTTTATGTGTTGAAAAAAATTGAAACTTGAGGTGGAAATTTTGTTTTAGATTAGTATTTCCTGTACCTATGCTTGTTTTGTGCTGATTTAATGTTAGAAGTTAGTATTAGTGTCTTAATATTTATTTTCAAATAAGATATACCTGCAAAATGCAAAAGATATTTTTTAAGTAGAACTATTTTTGTCACTACTGGGAAATGCATAATCATTTGGGGCATTTTAAGGTAATCCAGAATAAAGGTGTTATTTATGTATGTTACTTTATGGAACTTGTGGAAATCGAGTATCAATAGTACATGGCTGGGCCCTGATGTGCTCGAATGACTGAGGGGTTGGACTAAGCAGAAAACAATTATTTAACTGCAGGGGCGGACCCTGATATTGAGGGGTCAAAAATGAAAATTCAAAATTTTTTGAGCAACGTATCATCAATGAAAATAAGTCAATACGCTACTACAACTGTAGCTTACGCGCTTTCATACTCCGTAGCTAAGTAGCAGTAACCCATAGCAGGGGCGGAGGAGAGTTTTACTTTTATTTGATTTGTGCCGTGAGGAGAAGAGAGGAAAATTGGAAAAGAGAAGAGAAGAGGCGGTCTGGGAGATTGGGATTTGGGAAGATTAGAAGTCATAGAATTTGGGTTGGGTAAATGAATATATCGAATATTGATATAGTGCAATTGGATTTGGGCTTGTGGGCTGATCTGCAGATTGGAAATTGAGTAACTGGGTAGCTGGTAGGTAAGTAATTTAAAAAAAAAAACAAAGTCCAAATTTTTTGTCCCACATGACCCCATGTGGGTCCGGTCTGCCCCTGCTTAACTGGGTCCAACTATCTTTATTCTGTTTTTTTGCCAGAATGGTCAACTGTGTTTGGTTATATTGAGCATTTTTGTTCTTATTTTTCCTTTTTTTTTTTCAAAAAAATGTTATTGAATTCATGTCCCGCAATTTGATCTAATTTTGCCCCCATTTGACCCCCATTCTCCTTCTCATTCTTTCTCTCTCTTATTTTCAACCACACAATCTCCCATAAAATAATATTACACGCAAATAAAAAAAATTTCATTCTTTTTCAACCACATATTTTTCAAAAAACACTATTCCAACCATTAAAATTTGGAAAGAATGGGGGCCAAAAGAGGGCTTTATCTTTCTGATTCCACAAGGGCGAGTAGCTTTTTTGGGTGCTTCTCTAATTAATCACTTTCACATCCGATGAAGGAAGAGAGATGAAAGAAAAACATTTGAGTTGCAATCTAACGCTTCATATCACCAGATTGTGATGTTTTTGGTGGATTTTCTGATAAGATTATTGAAAGTTAAGAGAGGTGTATCTTTGATGTTTCATTTTCCTGAAATAGTTACTGGAGATGCTTTCTTGTAAACTTGTAGAGTACAATTACCTAAATTGTAGATGTTGGTTTTGGAAGGAAATAGATTATTCATTGTAGAATACATAACTGGATTGCAATTGATTTTGGTGACAAATAATATTTAAGTTAAAGGGGGAAGAGAAAGAGGAGGGCAGGGTGGTGGAGTAAATTGGGTTTGATCTGAACTAAATAAACGGGTAAAGATGGATGAAGTGTAAGTTTAAGAGTTTTGCCACTTGTGCATGCTTGCTACTACAAAGTTCAACATATGTTAGCTAGGTCAATGTCTGTGACCTTTGCTTCTATTATTTTTCTTAGTGCGTGTACATTCTTTTTTCATAAAGTTTATGTTGCAGTTGGTATGCCATTGACTGATTCTTCCCTTAAAAGCTTGGTGAGTAAGCGTATGACTTTCCATCGTGGCAGGGCAAGTAATCAAGGGATGGGACCGAGGTATCAAAACGATGAAGAAGGGTGAAAATGCCATTTTTACCATACCTCCTGAGTTGGCATACGGTGAATCCGGTTCTCCTCCTACTATTCCTCCAAATGCCACTCTACAGTTCGATGTTGAATTGCTGTCATGGGTTAGTGTAAAAGACATCTGCAAGGATGGTGGATTATTCAAGAAGATTCTTACAGAGGGAGAGAAATGGGAGAATCCTAAGGATCTTGATGAAGTGCTTGGTACATGAAGCACCCTCTTAAAAGTTGTTTAGATGATGATTCATTAAATTATTGTTAACTGTTATTTTATTTTGCAATTCAGTCAAATACGAGGCTCAATTGGAAGATGGTACCGTAATTGTGAAATCAGACGGAACTGAATTCACCGTTGGAGAAGGTAAAGTTTGAATTTATTTGGCCATGAAACAGTT